CCTTTCAAGCACAATGGAGAAACTACGGTGGCTGTAAAACGAGTGAATGCACCTGCCAAGAGCCAGTGTTTGGTTTGTCCCTCCTGGGCTACTGTAGAAACGCACTCGGTTTATGTTTCCCTTAAAATCTGTTCCCAGTTTTGACATTTAGAGGCCCATCAGTCTGTCTCCACCTTTTCTGTTGCTGATTTGAATATTTTTCTAATTTGATGAAATCTATTGCTTCTGGCTTGCCTCTATAGTATGATGAATTTGTCCCGGCCTCCCTCACAACCAAATTTGGTGGCTTCTATGTAAATTCGGGCGTGCTGCAGTTCCGCCAGGCTTCTGACACGGAGGACCTCCCTACAGAGGAGAAAACAATTGAGCCTTCAAAAGTAAGTAGCAACTCTAAAGAGCATGCAAAGCATTATAATGGATGTTCTCAGAACTGATTTCAATGTTCTTCCATCAGCCTAAGCTGTGCAAACTTTGCAACTTTGTTGTGTTTCTCTAAAAAAGTTTTTAATGACTTCTAAAACATATCTGATAAAACATAACTTGAAACATTTTTAGAAACGTAAACTCAATGGTGCACAGGATAAGCCAAAGAAGAAGCCGTGCAAAGAAGGTGGAGAGATGAAAAGCAATGAGGATCCTAAGTCGAGGTGAGGCTGAGCAAAGCAATTTTTACCTCTTGTTTGGAGCCAGTTAGATGATGGAACATTTCTCACAAGCGTAATATGTTTATTTTGTAGCAAATTGTCGGAAATTGCACCAGATGACGATATGATGAAGAAGAAAAAGAAGAAAAAGGCTGGTGGCACACTCAGCGTCACCAGCATGTTGAAAAAGTTCCAAAGAGAGAAGGAGAAGGAACGACAGAAGGTGATTAAAGAGAACCAGAAGGTACCAGCAATCATGGGTGCAACCACGATCCCTCTGTGCCCTGCAGACGCAGCCGGGGGCGGCGGCTCAGGACTGACTGACCCTCTCCTCAGTTTAATTGGATCAATCAATGACCACACTCTCATCCAAGCTGCCAACACAGTGGATTTTGATATTGATTTGGACTCTTTATTAGATGTCAGTGAGGGAACCTCATCACCAAAACTGGTTCCTCAACTGGCCACTGAGACACAGTTTTTCCAACCCAAAACCGATGATCAGACTCTAGCACAACTTCCAAATTCAAAGACTAACTTGCCGACGAAGCCTCATTCAGAACAAATCCCACTGCCAGAGGGACTTCCTCCAGGACTGGAAGACAGCATTCAGAAACTCATGGTGGTAAGGTTAAATTTATTATTTGTACATGCTCAAGTGACGATGTTGACGGACTAAAGCATCAGTTGTGGACAAGCACATGATGGATGCACAGCTGAGGTTATGTACACCTATTTATCTCTTATTAAAGAAATCACATTTTTTCAGGCTGCCAAGTCCTCAGAGGGAGAGTCAAAACTCAAGTTCTTCACTCCAGAAATCAACTCGATCCTGCTAGAGTGAGTTATCCAACAACACAGACAAAATGTGGCAACTATTGTCTTAAGCCAGGAGCACAGTGAAAGCCTTTTTTGAACCCTTATAACTATTTATTTTAAATCCTGCATCGCTTACATCCATGTCTTCTAGCTTTTATACTTCTTCTTTCCTACTTTTTATGGCATATTGCTAGGTTTTTTGGCACATTACCACTGCCAGCTGTCAGTTTAGTGGAACTGGCATGAAACCTTTTGGCAGGACTGTTTATTGCCACATGCTCGTGCATTCTTGTGCCCATGCATGCAATACAAACAAAACAGTGACTTCACTCACAGTGATGCAACTAGTGTTTAAAATATTCCAGAGAGCAGGTTCAGGTCACATTTACCCAGATTCAAGTAATGGTGTACAGTGTCTTTCCTCAGGTCAGAAGTTACAAGTAATCAGGAGTTGGACTGATAAAACTACCAGTCCTGTGATTACTGGACAACCTATCGCACACAAATCTGACTGTAATCCTGAAGCCTACAGACACCAAGGGCCACCTACATAGAGGCACCCATGTTGAACTACCATGTTTTTACAGTAGCCCAGAACAGACAAACCTGTAAATAGTGCGTTCAGTTTTTCACACATTTCATGGCCACACTAGTTTCTCCTTTATGCTTGGAAGGTCAGAGTGAATCAAGGAAGTTGCTATCCGCAACTACACTGGTAGATGCCACTAAATCCTACGCACTGGACTTTTCTTAAGTGTGTAGTTCTGCTGTCACTGTCTTTATCCAGTATTGAGTTGCAGTGTCGGGAACAGGGTGGCCAGTTGCGCTCCAAGGTATACACACACCTGTCGTCGTTCCTGCCCTGCAGCAGAGATACACTCCTCAAACGCGTGAAGAAACTGTTACTCACACACATGGTGAGTGTGTTTTTAATGTTTGAGTTGTAGTTTTATTGCAACTTTTATGTTCAGCATGTCTTGATTTTCATTCTTAAATCTGACACTGACAAGCAGGAACCCCCTGATGTGGAAGACCCCATGCACAAACTTAAGGAGGCCATCGGCAAAGCTATGCCCGAGCAGATCGCTTGTTTCCATGAAAACTGCAAACTATACGAACAAGTCAAGTCTTCAAAGTAAGTT